TTTCTTGAATAGTAAGCAAAAATAGAATAAGGAAACTAGATCGGTAGACAAAAATAAATGGGAATCCAAATCAAAATCAAACTCCTTTATACATCCCCTTATTTCAATGACAACCATCAACTAAATAAATAAATCCTTATACCTTTTTTTTTGGAAACAACAAACGAATTAAGCAGAAGCCTACTTGCAATATTTCAGCGAGTACCCCGAGTTCGAGCTCTTTTACAGGGCAAAGCAAGCTCCCATAGAGATTTCTAGGGAAAAATTCCCCAAACGTGGCACCACAAGAGGTAGTTTAAGAAAATTGAAATCCTAACCTCACGCCCCACGTGTAGGGGTGGCAATTGATGACACTATACGACAAAAATACACGACACGAAACGAAATTGGGACGAAACTGAAATTCGAATTCGTGTTCATGTCACGTGTAAAAAACACGACGTCGTGTCGTGTCGTGTTCGTGTTCAAAATTCGACACGATTTTGCATTTGTCAGTTGTGTTTTTCGTGTTTGTCGTGTTATTTATGATTAAGTATTAATTAAATAACTTAATTGTTATATTATGTCATCTTTGTCGTGTCGTGTCAGGTTTGTTGTTTTTTAATGGGTTCGTTTTCATGTTAGTTAAAAAAAGCACGACATCGTGTCATGTCGTGTTCGTGTTACAAAAAACCATGTCGTGTCGTACGTATCAGACAAAAACACGACACGATACCTGATTTGCTACTCCTACCCAGATGGGTATAAAACCCGATGCATCAAACATCACTTGCGAATCCCTATACCTATATAAAATTATTATTAATCGTAATGAAACTTGTATTAATATTAATAAAGCAAATATAATACCTGGTATAAAATTGCTTTCGATTTGTATTTCGTAATTTGCAACTTCGATATCCATATGAATGGAACTAAGATGAGTACTCTGTTAGTCGATAAACTTAATGAGCCAATTCTATAATTAAAATCCCTATATGTATGTTCTTTGCCAAAAATTAGTTCAATAGGACTGGAAGTGTTGACCTCTATTTTGATAAATCTTAATCAATCAACGGCAAAAATAAATAAATAAATAAATAAAAACAGTTATATCTAACTTTTGACAATGGTTAATTTCTAAAAAGACCTAAAAAAACTATTATTCATCATTCAACGATCTATACTTTATGTATATATCTAGACATTATGTTACGAGTGAAGGTTTTTGTTGTTTCTTCAAGTGTTCATATAGAAATAGAACTTTCAAGGAACAAACACATTTGTTTTGTTGGTTTCTTGTTTAATAAAAAAATATCATAACATTTTTTTGAGATCTAGCGGCCTGTTATAATTACCATTCGTAAAGAACGCAGAAGCCAGTTTTATTATATTTTCCAATTAACAAATTCAATTATTTCATACTACATTCCCATATTTAGCCTTGTATTCCTGCCATAGTTGATCCACGGGCTTTCCTGTCAAGTCTTCAAAATACTTGACGTCAAAAGAAAACCTCATCATCTTGTTAAGCTTTGCGACGAACCCTGGGACAATCCCATCACAATATTCGAGAAAACGAGCTGTGAAATCATACCCCTGGTCCCATTTATTACCAGTTCCTGGTTTTGCAAAACCAACTTGGGCATAATTCGCTTTTAATTTCGTATAGTCCGCCACCCCTTCTACCAAGCCAAGTGGAGCTTTACCCTCACCATCCCATTGAAAAACGTGGGTAATTTCATGGTGCAAAAGGGACGTGAATTCCCATTTCAGGTCCCCTTCATACCCTTCTAGATAAACAGAACTAACATTAATATTATCACCATAAGCGATAGCTTCGGCTCCTTTGTACTCTACGATGTAAATGGTCATAGTGGGCACATGCTTTCGGTCAGCAGGATCGCTTTGTTGCAAGATGGTGGTCCATACGTAGTTGTTGATGGTTCTCATTAGTTGCTTTGTGTATGGAATTCCGATTTCATTAGTGAAACGGATGCCGCCGGGAGTATTTGAAGCATCGTTAATTACTTGGTAGTTCACGGCGGATGTTCCACAAAAAGACAATGAGAAGGAGAAGATGGTATAAAGGAAAAAGTAATAAAGAGCCATGAATAATCTATTTGAGGTTCGGGTAATAAAAACGACACATGCAGCCATCATCTAAATATAGGTATCATGTGTAATTGATATTTTTCAATTTTGTCATTATGAAAATTAATTGCATCTCAAATATTTTCTAAATATTTTATATATGGACAATAAATATTTTGATTGACAGATATATATGGTAAATAATATATATATATATATATATATATATATATATATAATAGATATATATATATATATATATATATATATATCTATTATATATATATATGGAAAGTTCAACCATAATTATTGGTTCTCCAAGGAATCAATTTTTTTTTTCAATTTTAGAACTTATTCTTTATCGAAAAAAAAACTAAAAATATCTAAATTCATAACTTAACGTTGTGAATGTTAAATATATTTTTCCGATTCACCGTGTCAATTTAGATTCACATTGTGAATTTGACGAAAAAAAAATTTCATCGAATTTGATATCATGGAAAAACGATAAAAAGTTATGAATTCTGTATTTTTTAGTTTTTTCTTTTTGATAAAAATAAGTTCTAAAAGTTGGAAAAAAAAGATTGGTTCCTTGGCTAATTATGGTTATCTATTGAACCTTACCATATATATATATATATATATAGATATATATATATATATATATATATATAGATAAATAATATATATACATAATATCTATATATATATATCTATATATCTACAGAGAGAGCAGAGAGCTAGGTTCAAATGTGGATTGACATGTATTGTGCGGACGTGTAGACAGTACTCTTATGTGAGAATCACAAATAAAATATGTTGTTTGATAATATCAATACGTTCAATCTTATATAACTTTTATCATTATCACACATTCTCACTAATTAAATTGTCTACAAGGTTATTATAGACTTATTATTATTATTCTCATTCTGTCAGAATATTTATTGAGTCATATTCTGTAAGAATGAAAATGAGTGAAATGTATGTATTAAAACAAAAATGAATAAGAATTAGTGAGAATACATGAAAATGACAATAGTTGTGTGAATTTTAACGTATTCACATTACTAAACAACCTATTCTCTTAGTAATTCTCATAGAATAGTTTGTCCACACGTCCGCACAATAGTTGTTAATCCATATATAACCTAGCCCTATATATATATATATAGATATATATATATATATATATATATATATATAGATATATATATATATATATATATATGGGAAAAGTGAAGATACCCTTAAGGGTATATAAGCTTAGCTACTCTAACCCACCATAATATGTCGTTTTATTTTATATATTCATTATAATGTTCTTAAACATCAACCCCTAATTTGATTTACTTTCAAAAATTTTGAAATTTCATTATTATCTTCCTTTTACATCACATCTTTATGTCGAACACCTACTAGGCTATAATATATCATATATTATAGTTGAAAATGAAAATTATATAAGAGGAAGATAAATGTAAAATTTATAAAAATCTTGGAATTAAATTAAGTTAGAAGTTGAATTAGAATAACATTTGACAATTACAATGTATATATATATATATATATATATATATATATAGATATATATATAATATCTTATAAAACGACGTAATATCGTGAGTTTGGTACCTAAGCTTTTATACCCTTAAGGATATCTTCCTTTTCCGTATCGTATATAGTATATATATATATATCCTATATATACTCTATATATATCTATATCTATATTCTATAATATATCTATCTAGATATATATATATATCTATAATATATATAATTAGTATCGCGTGTTGTAAAAATCCCGATTAGGTCCCATTAATCTCTGATTAATCCCTAGGCGCTACTCTCGACCGATTAGAGGCGCCTAGCGATTAATCCATACATACACAATGACTAAAACAGTAGAACACGATGAAATTTTAACACTTTGAAGAAATTATATCACAACAGAAACTATTTGAGGTATGATTAGTGTTGTATGTATCATATCAACTTATTTTGTTATGATCTTAGTGGTAACTAAAAATTTTATATGCTATTATCATATTTAATTTTTTCCCTCTCCCAAATTAGCAATTAAGGTCACCGATTAATCTCCGCCCTAGCCGATGAATCTTTTAACCCCAGTCCCACCAGCTAAAGTCGAACGATTTTTACAACCTTGATATATATATATATATATATATTATATATATATATATATATATATTCATATAGATATAATATATATATATATATATATTATAGCTATATATTATATATATATCCTACAAACAAAATGGTGTTTAGTGGCACAAAAAAAATGTCACCCAAAACCTAATAAGTGCCACTAAAGGCTTTCTTGGCAATTAGCGACACAAAAAAAAAGTGTGACTACAAACGCTCCCACTAAAGGCTTTTAGTGGCTCAATTTGGTTCTGTCGCTGCAACCCTTTTGGGTTTTAGTGACACTTTTTTATGCCATTATAGGACTTTTGGTTTTTGTCGCACTTTTTTTATGCCACTAAATAATTACTAAAATAAAAACAATTTTTGCAGTTTTTAGCTACACTTTTTTATATCAAATGATATTTGTATTTGAAAATTAGGTCCATTTTTTATAAATTTAAATAGAATATAATATAATAAAAAACAACTTAATAAATGGAAAACCCAAAATATTACTTAAATTTATACTTAACTTGTCTTACAATTTATATACTTAAATGGAAAACCAAAAACACAAATGCATTACTCAAAACCTAAAACTATCAAACTATATAGTTGTTTGGAAGAAACACAGAACTTGATTCCAGATGAACTTTGCATAATATTTCTTCTTGTTTATCCAACTAATGAACAAATATCTGTCATATGACCATGATACATCATATAAAACATTGATAAATTATAAGAATTATAGAATTTTTTTAATAATCATTAGCTTTAAAATGTTCAAAAGCAATATCTGCTAATGCAGCTCCCACGATCGTTGGAAGTAAGCTTCATGAGTGTTATTAGCCGATAAGAATATCATCTATAAAAGTGTGTACTAATATGCATTTAATAAATAGCAATTTTATCACAATGTTTAAAAAATAATAAACAAAATATCACTTGTCAAATTTTACACGTATTTAACTTTTGAAGTCCCGACTAACCATCGTTTCTGAAGGCAAATCTTTTTCGTTTTTCCCTGGAGCCTAAATTTTTTAAAACAATTGCATATATAAGTAGCATTATAATATTACATACAAACGAGAAATCATCTATAATGCAAATTAACAAAAAGTAATGACTCAGTAAAATTGTAGGATACAATCATATGAGAATAATTATCAGGAAAATAATATAATGCAAATTAACATAAAGTAATAACTTAGTAAAATACAAAACTGTATCCAAAAATTAATTGCATAAAAGGCATCATTAAGTTGACCTGCAAACTCCAAAATGTTTGGTAGAACTTGAAGTCTATAGAAATTCCTGAAAGCCATATAAGTTTTTTAGGCATGCATTTGATCACAAATAGAAATTGTTAATTTGAAATCTAGAATCAAGAAATTATTTTATAAAATATATATGGGATATATTAGTTTACAACAACAAAAAAAGAGTTGATTTTTACCATCAGGTGCTTGCTTCTGATACTTTGTCTCATTTGAAACATTGAAAACTCCCTTAATATTGACAGTTGTACATGCAAAAGAAATAATAATGTCATCAGAGAAAGAAGTAGAGTACTAAAAAATAAAAATAAACAAAATAATAATAATAACCTGAACGTTAAGACAATGGGAAAAAAATGTGCAAGAAACATAATAATACGTCCACAAAACACCACATCGTTTGACTGAAAAGTTGAGAGGGCAAAAATGTCATTATTTAAAAAAGCAAATTGCAATTTTCCCTTAATTAAAATTACCTTTGAAAGACGAAGAAGAAGTTGACTGCAAGTTCTTAATATTACAAGCTTTCCCTTTGCAAAAAGTTTTGGCTGTATGAATTTATGGAAGTGAACACAAGAGTAGATACAAAAAATTACTTAAAAGACCCTGTAAAAGTAGAGAATTTACACACCTTACCCAAGATGTCTTGCTTACTTTCTATATAACCAAAGACATCTTCACAGTTTCTCATTGTGGACATTTCTGTCAAATCTTCCAAAAGCTGGAATATCTTGCCCCCTTCAATGTGTTCATTTTCACAAAGATATAGCATAATGTCTAAAAAGATTTCAAGAAATGGAAATACAAGTGCTAGAACATTGACTAATAAGTCATGAGAGTAAAATATATAAAAAATATACTCACCAAGAAGCCGAGGTACTTGCCCCTCTGTGTTATCACCATCATCAATTGATGCCCCATAATGCATAGTATGTTTCCCTGATTGAACTGCAGCTGACTAGGTCAAACAACAATTACATGATGTTGAGGCATATAACATGTTGACTAGTCAACCCATGTGAAATATGAACATTAAGAAAGCATGTAAGGAACATACCACGAGCTCTTGAAGTAGCGTTCTTAGAATGTTTTCCAACAATTGGTTCTCATCCTGAACTAGTTTTGTTTGCCTCTGCATCAAATATAACAATTTTGGGTGAGTTCAAGGGCAATTTTAGGTGATATCAAAGGCTTGAGATCGAATTTCTTCCAAATCAAACAAGATTTTGTTAGATTATTACAAGGATCTGAAGCTATAATCTCTATTTCATTAGGGTTCATGAAATTTGATTTGTAAAGATGATTCTTGATGTGTGCTTGTTATTATGATGCAAATGTTGTTTATTAGTAAGGCATGTAAATGTTGTTTATTTGTAAAGATGATTCTTTTCAAATATGTTGATCTTCTTTAATGCAATGATTCTGTGAGTTAGGATACGATTATCTCTTTAAATTACATTTCTCGCACTGTTGCTTATAGCTGCAAATATTTTCTTTCATCTACACATCATTTGTCAATCTTTATATGCACTTTTGTAGTACGATTTCATTAATGTTGTATACTCCATAAGATCGACTAAGTAAGTTGACAGTTCCACCATCTGATAGTTTCATAAAAGTAAATACAAAATTGGTTAAGTTGGTGTGATATGCATTAGAATGTTACCTCTAAATGTTAAATTACCATATATGACTCAGAAGGATCCATGGCTGATCCGGAAGAAAGCCCTTTTCAACATCAAATAGTAGTAAGAGTTTCTTTTTCAACTCATATGGTGCAACCATAGTAAATTAACTTTGAGCAACACTACCATATCCTTCTATCATGGTGGCTGGTTGTCTGTCCAGAATATAAACATACACATCAATAGTCATAAGCATAAGCTTTATGAGTGTTTGATCATAAGCAAATGTTATTAAGCATCCATGTAATTCTTAGTCTCTTATATAAAAAGAAATCTAATCTATCTACACACATTGGTTAACAAATTTTAGCATAGGTTAATAGTAAAATTTGAACCATGAGTTCTTAAGGTGAGCATAAACTAAACTATTCTCTCAGACCAATGATTCGTTGATTATAATGATAGAAATGAGGAGTGATAAACAGAGGATATAACATACTCAGTAAAGTAATTTGTCTATGTTTGATCTCCAAATCACTTTCAGATTGGTGCAAATAGAAATATAAACTTTTTTACAAAGCCTAATCAGATTAACATTGTTCTCGCACCAGGAATGATAAAAAAACATCATCATTTTGTGTTGATTATATAATGATTAAATACTAATCTGTCTAGAATGCAAGAACTTATAACCGAATGAAAATCTATAAAGCGGATATAAAGTAATCGATACAAAGTGATATTTACCTTTATCTCGGCATAACTTGCCACAGATTAACGGAACAGGGAAGCGGGGTGGATCATGGCGAGCAGGGGCGGAGCAATGCAACTAGGTGGACGAGGGAGAGGATAAGGATGAACGACAATAGGAGAAGATTTCTGATTGCAAATGACGATTTAGTGATCGATTTCATGGTTAGGGTTTTCCTCTTTTAAATATTGGGACTTTGCAAAGACGTAGGCAAAGAGGAAAAGGCGAGGTTAAGAGGAGAGAAACAAAAAGGACGAAAATATATAATATACTCTTCAATCAAATGGCCTTTTATCTACAGTGGCATAAAAATAATTTGTTAAATTAAAAAAAATGCATTAAGTAATTTTTGACATAAAATGATATTTTAAATTATTTTGTTGATAGGTGCTATTAAATTTTTTCTTTTGATTTTATTAAAATTCAATAACAACCAATTTTTATATAACATATCTAATTTTTAATGGCATTCAAATTTTTATTGTGTTATAAAATACGTAATATAAATTATTATATGTAAGTTTTTATAGTGGTATATAAAATGTGCACTAAAAACATATGATATAGTGGCATAAAAAGAAAGTGCCACTAAAAACATGATAGAGTGACACATAAAAGAATATGTCATTAAACGTTATTTTTGTTTGTAGTGTATATATATATATATATTAGATATAATATATATATAATATATATATATATATATATATATATATATAAGATATATATTATATATATATATAGGGGGTGTAGCATTAGATCAAAATTAACTTATTAAGGGCATGATCGTCATCTTACCGATCTCATTTAATGTTTAATTTTTTTTGTTATTGGAAATATTAATAAAATGTTCTAAAAATTAACATAATAAATCAAATTTCGAATTTTTTTAAATAATTTTGGATTTGTTTTTTTTTATATGGAGATTTTTTAATTTTTTCTGAAAACATGAAATTAAAAAAAAAATTGAAGTTTTAAAAAAAAAAAACTGCAATTTTTTTTTCAAAAAACTACATTTTTTTGAAAATAACTGTATTTTTTTCCAAAAAAACTGCAATTTTTTCAAAAAAAAACTATATTTTAAAAAAAAATTGCAGTTTTTTCTAAAAAAACTGCATTTAAAAAAAAACATTGTAACCTTTTTCAAAAAAACTGCATTTATTTAAAAAGTAAACATTTAAAAATCAAAAAATTAAAAAAAGCTAGAATATTTAAAAAAAATAAAACTCTAATTTTTTTAACATAAAAAAAATCAAAGTTTTAAGTGCATATATGCACATTTTTTCAAATGCATATATGCATATTTCTTATACTATAATATTCGTAAGTAAATCATAAAAAATCTAATTTTTATTAATCAAAGTATAAACATAATAATACAAGAATTTTATTTGATACAAAAAAAAATAAGAAATGCTACAAAGATTTACAATGTTGTCAATTCTTCATATCAAAATTTCCATATTTTCTTCAATGTATCACTTTACAACTCGCCGTGCTCAAACGTGTCCGAAGGTTGGGAAAACCCTAACCGACTCGCCGAGTCATTCTACTTACTCGTCGTGTATATGACAATCTCCAAAGGACTCGCCGAGTTGTTCATCCAACTCGTCGAGTACAGGACCATCTTCATGTGGCTCGCCGAGTTTACTATGCAACTAGCCGAGCCCCCTCCAGACCTTCAACCATTCAGGTACTTTTTAAGCCATGCAACGACTCCATATTGCAGATCTAAGCTCCTAAGGCATGCTTATCACGTAAAGTTGCAAACTTTACGTGCATGCAAGGCCCTAGAGACTCTAAATGACCAATCCAAGCTTTCAATGGAGCTCTACACCTTAGGAGAGTCTCATTCTTGCAAAAACTGGAAACTTTAAGGACTTAGAGACCCAAGAGAGTTTAGATCTGAAGTTGCAACCTCAGATCTTAGCTCAAACACAAGAAAGGCTTCCTAATAAGCTAGAAAAGCCCTAAAATCCACCCAACATAGATCTAGAAAGAAGAGGGGTTAGGATAAC